AGACGGGCGTGTCTGGCTCAGCGAGACGGGGTGCTGGGGTCCTGAGCTGGCAGGGAAAGCAGGGGCAGAAGTAGTCTTGGCACATCAGGTGGCAGCTCCCAGGGGGGGGTTCTATGATTCAACCCGTCACACCCACATATATTTCTTTGCCTTTCTGTCCTTTCCTCCAACAGTGGGGGAGGCATTATCTTAGCTCTGCATTTCCCATTCTTGTGTTGGGTGTTTCATGCTTCCTAGAGGGGTCGGTTTTCAACGTTCAGGTAGGACAGGTCAGGTGGCACCATGAGCAGCCTTCCCCCTCCTCTGACAAAGACCTTTGGTCAGGCACGTGGACGTGAAAGACCATGAGCCTATGGTCAGGGGCTGCGACATGGGGGCTTTCCCCTCTAGGGTGCACAGGCTACAATCTGGCCCCAGAGCAGGGGGACTGGCTCATTGGGGTGGATGGGGGCAGAATGAGGGTGCCCACACAAGGGCACTAAGACTTTCCCAGGTCTTAGTATTGCAGCTCGAGCCGGTGAGAGTTACATTTTCAGAAGGAAGCCATGTGCTTCGTCCTGCACATACACGGGGAGGGGAGTGGGATCTAGTGGTTAGAGCAGAGGAGGGTGGTAGCTCAGACTCCTGGGTCCTCTCCCTAACTTTAGCAGGTTATAGCCCCCCAGAGCCAGCCCACCCCCATCACTGCCTGGATCACAGTCGGGGAAGCTCCCCCCTCTCAGAGCGGCCAGCTCAGGCTCTCTGCAGACTCAGGCGTGGGTCCCACCCGCCCTGGTTTGGAGAAATTTCTTTGCTCTCGTGAGGGCTAGAAGTATTTTTTGGCTCTGCAAGCTGAGTGCCTGGAGATCGCCTCCGGCTCGCGGGACGGAAACCGTGGTCAGTTGTTTGTGCGTCGCACACGGCCCCGACTCCGACACTTCTATCATGATTGTAAATCACCCCCCACCCCATCTGCTGCTGCCTTTGCAAAAGCTGTGGCCGTGAACGGTGCTGAATTTCCTGTTTCTCGCCAGGAGCTCAAGTGCAGACAGAGCCCCGAGCCACAGAAACTGCAGCCGTAGCAAATGGAGGGGCCCCCGGGCGCTACACAGATCCCCTGCAAAATATCGGGGCCCCTGTGGTTCCA